TGTAGGGTGCAATCTGCAAAGAAAGTTAGAGATGCCTGATGTTCTCATCTAGTACTTTAAGAAGTTGAAAGTACGTGGTCTAGTGTTCTAAATGAATGCTTTCTCAATCAATGGGTATGCAAGGGTGCAGTAAATGACAACACACTGTGGAACACCTTCCATAAAAGAACAAAAGATGCTCACATCAGTGTTAAAGCGAGAAGTGTAGAGTTCTGGATGTTTATCATAGTCTACTGGATCATACAGTCCATCACGTTTCCTTACAAGGTGATGGTGACGACTTAACACTGTCCCATAGACTTTTCTGAGGTCTGAAGTTTAAAAAAAAAATAATAATAATAATTAGCTGTTATACTTGGACAAAAAGGGTACCAGTGTTTTAAATCACTTTATTGTCACAGCATACCTCCAGATCTGGAAACTTCCTTTAACTCATGTGGTTCCACAAACTCACATGGGAGGGCATTGAACATTTCTTGAGCACCCTGTAAACCATGAAGTAGGATGCAGAATAAGCAGAGAATATAGTGTAACACTGCTCATTTGGTGTGAAAACAAACATAAAAATGCCACACACAACTTGACAGTCTTGCCAGAGAACATCTTCAGAGAGGTACAAAGTGTTTCACACATACTCCCACTTATCCGAAACAAAACTGCCTGGGCTCTACATACAAGGAATTTACATAATTCCCCATTACTGCAGTAAGCCTGAGCCACAGTCCAACCCCTCCTTTATATTTCTAACAGCAGAGTTGGAGGCCTCAACTCAGTCACAATAGATGTTTTTGCTGCCACTCTGAGGAGCAGTTTCTCTTTAGAGAAGACTCCTGAAGCTACTCCTCACCAACCAGGCTGTTCTAAAGGCAAATAACTTCAAGATGATTTTCCCAACCAGCTGTGATCACAGAACAAAGGCCTTTCAGAAACACCACCATTTTGACCAGAAAGCACAGATTTACATAGGCAGTGATTTCACTTTATAGCTGAAGCCTAGTTAACTGATCTTTGTTGTCAAAACCAGGGGTAAGCCTTTTCCCTAGGTCATAGAAAATATCTCTTAAGTCCAGCATTTGTAAGCCAAATCAAGGCTATAAAAACACATATAAAAACTTAGCAAGTATTAGAAAAAATAATTCTTTCTCCTGTACTATAATGGAGTGATTCAACATACCTTGTGAGCCCAGAGTCAACAGAGGGGAGTGAGAGAGACAAAAATCATGCAGCTGAGAAAGGAGATAGTAGCAGTAAGACTTAACCCATTTTCCATGGGAAGAAGTTAGCACAATCAGCCTTGTCAGGCATGATCTCATCTTAAAAACATTAGTTTAGGGTACTTAAAAATTCTTACTGGCAAAGGAAAACCTGAAGTCCAACTAAAAAAAATTATCCTATCAACCCATTTAACCAGACATGTATCAAATGCTAAGAAGTTCTACTAAAAATAATATACCATTTCATCTTGAAGACAGAATTCTTACCTTGGAAACATTACCAGTGCCTGTGAACACAAATGTTAAGGGCCCAATTGACTTTGGCATCAATCCCAGTGAAATTTCATACCCAGCATCCCGTACTGCCTGGACAGCCTGACTGCTATTCCTGTAGTTATGTGCCATCCCAATGTGCTGAAATCAAAGGCACAGAAGCATCAAGATATTCTTCATATTCAAATACAGATAACTAGCAGATGCCTGAATGCCATTTCGATAAAGAAAAGTACATACACATATACTCTTACCATGAAGGGAGTGTGATGTCCCAGGGCTAAAAATCGTAATCCCAATCCATGTAGAATGTTGATCATTCCTTTTGTTAAAAAAAAAAAAGAAAAATCAGATTATCAGTGTTAATTATGAATATGCAGTTAGAAACTGCAGAGACTGACTGAAGTCTAAAATAATCCTGGATATTTTGCCCATGTTTTCATATTAATACTTTACTTCTAAAGACAGTCTACATAAAACCAGGGAAGAAGAAATTCAATAGCACGCCATGACTTTAAACCTGTTTTTGGCCCACATACGTTTCAGCACTATTTAATACTCAGATACCCTTTCATGAGATGCATCCATATCACCAGATTCCAAAGAAGGAGACAATAAAGACAGTCTCCTGAAGAAACAGAGTTGAAGTTCAGTAGCAAGGAATGAGAACCATGCCTCACAAAAATCAGTGTAAATGGATAACAGAGTGACAAACAGATGTTGTTCAAACTCACGGGACTGACAGCAGCCATTTCTTTCAAAAGCCTGTTCAGTTGGTCTCTTGATATTTAGTCTGCCTCAGATTAGTTGAATAGACAAATGGGACAAGACAACATAAAATAGTCGATATGCCAGGAATCCACAGGACTATTTGACATGTAGTCACACCAAAAGTAGGGAGCACAAAAGAGAATGAAGAAAAGCTCTTAAAAGCAAGAGTTAAAAATGCAGTTAAAAACCTGTTGCAAGCCTCAGCTTTCAGGAAACAGACAACCAGAAATGTTACAAGAAGTTACTTGTTGCAAGCCTGCCTTTACTTTATGCACTATACCTGCTACACCAGCCCACTTTCCAAAGGCCACAACTCGCATTCCTTTATGATCAACCATTTTTTCATAGTCAAACAGTCGAATTTCCTGAAAATACATAGCAAACTGAGTATTAAAATTTTCAGTGAATGCAGTCTGTGGCACATTGCTCTTGTAGGGACTTCCTTTTCATACGCCTTTGTCGTTCTTTGTGACAGATGCTGCTGGGCAGATATGAGAAAGGTAAATAATTCAGAAGAGGATTTAAGTATAAAAATAAAAACCTAAAGGTTGCATTGAACTCTGGTTTTAAAGAGTCTCTGCACTGCCCGTGCACTCTGGGCTCCCCAGAGCTCCAGAGCTCCCCAACAGGCCACTCCAGCTGCTGCAGACCCATTCACATCCTCTGCCAAGAGGCTGCTCATTTCTGAGTAAACTGGCTACCTCCCTCTGTAACAACCAACACAGACTCTAGCTTAATAACTTTCCAACAAGCCTTCGTGCTCACACAGCATGAACCTCTCTTGAGCACACCATGCTCGCAACTCATCTGCCTCACGCACATAAACAGAGTAGCTCTGCAAGCACAAGATCCTCTGAGCAAGAAATATTCAGCTCCAGGAGAGGATACTGAAAACAGTTCTCATCAGCCATCTACAAATATCCACGCTGAAAGCAACCATACTAAGCAGGAAGTTTTGGATCACACTTCAGCATTAAGTTCAGTTTCCACCCCATGCTAACAGCCAGTTGTCTTCACTATGACACAATTTACCTGTCTCAGAATCTCATCCAAAAGGGGCATGTTTGCCTCTTGGGCTTTAATAGTGTGAGAGAAGAAGGCATAGTTCTTTTTAGGGATTAATTTGTCCTCTGGAGGTCTCTTCACACCTACTATCAGAGAAGCCTCAGAAATATCTTCTTGAATAATGCCACCTGCTTTGACATAATCCTACGAAAGACAAAAATCAAAGTAATTTTTTCTGTTTTTTTTCATGTTCAGATCTCAGCACATAAGTAACTAGAGCAGAGGACAAACAGATAATGCTACAAAGCAGAAACAAGTTACTGCATGTGATAAGTTCATAAACCTCTTTATCACAAGGGTTATCAAATATCAAACTGACTTTCCATTATAATATACTATTATACAAGGCCAAAACATAATTATGCATTAGTAAAATACTTCATCCTAAATTCACAGACTACAAAAAGGATATTTTACTACATTTAAACTATCTTATAATATTGCAACAATGAACAGTCCTTTGTAATGTGTAGAAACACTTGGAAGTTTAGAGAAAACTGACAAATTAATCTGAAGACTGATGACATGCGACTTTATAAAACTGTATAATACTAAGTCCAAGCAGAAAAGCAACTTCTAAAAGAATGTTTTTCCATATCAAAATTTATTTTTGTTCTCCCTTATCTCAAAAACATACTAAAATTCCAGCTTTCAGTATCGCAGTTGTGTACCTAATGGGATCTGTGCTTTGGTGAAAACCAGCACTGTGCCTTAATTAAAAGGTGATGTAGTGATCACTAATTCCCTACTTATGTTTCAATATTTTTTCTGTTGGCTCAGATACCTTTCAGCAGAGTCTCACTGCTGCTACAAGAACTGTAAAAGCTCTCAGTCCTGACGCTCAGAGCACTGAAGGAAAAATCCCCTCTCTCCTCATTTTACATGAGGAATGGG